CAGGTTATTTTTCAGATACCCTTTCATAGACCGCAAGTAGTCTTTCTATGGACAACTGTGAAATCCTTAGAAGCGGAGTGATTGTGATACGGGGAGGATAAATTACTGTGCTTTTTGTTATTGTATTGAACTTTCTCTAAACCTTTCTTGGAGAGATATTTGATGGATTTTTGATTGGCAAATTCGAGATACACGCGTGTTTTCACGCTCTGATTGACCATAGCTTTTCAGCATGCATCTGTTTGCGAACTCGTTTTCTAAAATGTATTACACTTCTTTTGAAGATCGTCAGGCCTACGAGATATTTTAGAAGAGATTTCGACCGGAGAGAATCTTAGCTAGTCGAAATCTCAATGCCTTCATTGCCGCAAACCATATGGAGGCTTTAGCATGCCATCGGAATGCATACCGACCTACCGGAACACAGGACAAACAGCTTTGCGTTTCCGCATTTTCATAAAGCGGCCATGTTGAGTCGAAATATAGTCTTTTCCGCTGCAGACGTTGCGACGTGTCAGGGGAGGTTGGGTCCGGCTCGACATCAGCCCCCCGCTCCAACAATTGGTGGAGAACGGGCTGATGCAGCGCCAAGCTTAGCCTTCCCCTTGACGCGCCCCATCGTCCGCGGCGAAGACGATTGTACACAGCCACACCTACCGCATCTCACCATGGAAGTCCGCCAACTTACCATGGAACTTTGAATGGAGACCTGGGTAGATCGATAGAGTCTATAAGGTTATTTACAAATAGATAGCAAAACTGCAACCTGCATTTCACAAGCAACTTATGAGCAGGTAAAGTTTGTAATGGTGCAGTGGAGGCTTGGTGGTGAGCTGTGAAGCATAAGCGAGGAATCGCATACGTCGAATCGAGTCGTGGTGGTTCAGTGGTAAGGTTCGACGTTCGACGTATGCGATTCCTCGCTTATGCTTCACAGCTCACCACCAAGCCTCCCTACTGCACCATTACAAACTTTACCTGCTCATAAGTTGCTTGTGAAATGCAGGTTGCAGTTTTGCTATATTTGTAAATAACCTTATAGACTCTATCGATCTACCCAGGTCTCCATTCAAAGTTCCATGGTAATTTGGCGGACTTCCCTGGTGAGAGAAAGTGAAATAGTGAGCCAATATGGAATGAAACAGTTCATTAAAGGAAGAACCCGCGATTACTCGCCATCTCAGATGGTGGATTAGGGGGTTCCATATAGACGACAAGGGGTTGAGTAACTCGACTGTGAACAAAAAAAGCACAAAAAACATGCCACCTGCCCTAGATAGAACCCCATTTCGATCCCAGTTTGTACGTGCCCAATCAACTCTATCTCCAAAACTACGCCCTCATATGCACGGCTGATTCACCGATAAGATTTCTACGATCGTACAAGTGGCGATTATCATGCTTTTTCGTCCTGCAATCTCATTTTTCACTGGAAGTCGGTCATTAGGGGCGGAGTCTGGAGGCGGAGTCACTGGAAAAAAGGAGGAGCCACTGAACCTATATTGCGCTACAGCGCCCCTCCCATAGAATTTTTTGCCGCGAAACCGGTACAAGGTTGTTCGTCGCGGACCACTCTAACCTCCTGACGCCATATTTTCAACTTCGATACCTGATCGCGGACCGTGCCTTTAAGAAGATCTGCATGAAAGGTAGCAACTGACAACAAGGAGAGTAAAATTCATGTCTACTCATTCCCAACAGAACCTTCCAGGAACAATGCATTTAAAAGCTTTATTGGCAAAGCACCCAGTTTCGTCACGCACAGGCTAGTAACAAGGAAAAAATGCTTGCAAACTTGGAAGCTTAATGAATAATACATGAAAAGCATATAGAAAATAGAACTTGCTCTTGAAGCGTACAGCTTCGCTAAAATGGAACTGAATACTTCACTAATATGAGACGATGCACGGTAGCATCAAGGCTTGAAGAACATTGTCAAGAGCCAGCTTCTGAGACCGGAGTCATCCATGGTTCGAAGAAAGAGTAAATCACTCAGCAGTTCTAATTTCCTTACAATTGATACAAATGAAATATAGGGCGTTACCCGACCGAAAAAAAACAGTTAAAAACATGTGAAGTATTAGAGACGACAGACGTTACTATGGACGGTTCCTCAGCATACAACAAGGTAATTCTGCGGCTTAACTAGCAATTCAGTCCTTTCTCAAGGGTCTGGTTAGGCAATACACACCTCACTTTTTCATAAACTAGTCTCTGCTTCCACTTTTCGCGTGCAAATAGCCAGCCAACATACTTTCATTGATGATGTGAAGAAGTGCCTGCCAAGCACGCAATTCGTCTCGCGGTGTTCCGCCGCGATTTTCGAGTTCTTCAAGCAAAGCTAGACAAAACGCGTCCCAATAGGTCAGCTGAAAGTGAATATCCGACAGACAGTTAACGAAATCTGTTCATAATAGAAAAGCAAGTTTCCATCAGTAAGTTGTACGAATAGTTAGGAGTGTTGGTTTCTGAACAGAAAAAACCATATAAAGGTAGCAATTATATGCACAGAGGAATCAGTTATAGCTGCACATCTCCAGCGTAGCGCTTCACTGATGTTCTAAGCAGTACCTTTATAGAATCATCTCACTAATCAGAACTATGGATGCTGCTGCAAATCTGCCCTGACACCTACACACAGCTTTCAGCACGGTCATGGTTTTCAAATTAAAAAAATTTTCGAATTTTCAAATTATAACTTCTGCTTCTGGGAGCTTTGACTCTCTTGCTATGTTGCACGTGTGCACTAACTGAGAAGGATATACGGGCCGAAACATAGCGCTACGCCTACATCTGGAGGGCTTTGTTGCAAACACTCTGCTCTTTAATTAACATTTAACCAAAAACATTTAGTGGGACCCGTAGTCAATGCGTTCCTTCCTCCTCGTTTCACATTGGCCTTATTAGACGCAATTTGAAGGTTATTCTTCCTGTATGCTCTTCAGTAAGATGACGCAAAAAAATCCACTGCATATAAATGTAAAGTTGCAAACTAGGAGGTACTACCATGAGATTCAAGAGCAAGGATTTAAATTTGTAAAACAAATAATCTAAAAAAAGCAGCGAAACAGAAAAAGAAAACAGAACAGAAAATAATCGAAAAATTGATCACGAACACATTTCGTTGTCGCAAGACCTACGTTAATGAGGTAACGTTGCATAGCTTCCGAATCTGCTAACTAGGGAAGGTCGTCAGGCCCTTTTTTGTAATGAGATGTAGCTCACTAGACGTGGTTTTGGACGCTGATCTCGAATCTGCCTTTGAAATTTGCAGAACGATTTCTGAACGGAGTTATGGAGCTTTTTCCACCGCGTTTACCACGCAACAGGTCGTGGGATCGGATCCCTGCTGAGCTTAACTTTTTTGCTTCTTGCGCAAACGTGGCAAAAGTGGTTGTGGCGTCACTACTACGCTCTCTCTTGCTTGAAAAACAGTTTGCGTTCGCTTACTGGCACGCTTAGTGCCTTACGATCTAGGAGAATTTTTGGATGTACAGGTGCCCTTGGCGCTGAGCGAGTGCCATATTCGTATTTATGGGGGCGAACTACGCCTAGGTAGAGGTTTCTAGCCAAATCTGGCATTTTGACCTGACTTCGAAAAAGTGAAGCATCCATGGGTTAGTTCAGTTGATGTTCACACCTATTCAGCTGCAGATACATTCTCCTGCACAAAGCCTCGTCTTGCCACTTCTTACGCATTCATTTTGTTACTGCTCCAGTTTTCCTGGTATCTAAAAGCAAATTCCGTCCAAAGACAAGCAATCGACAAGAGACTGGCCCTGGAACTATTGGTGACCATCATTCGATCAACTGCTACCGCACTTTTCAAAGTTAGGTCAAAACCTCACATCTGGCTAGAAACCTGTCCCCAAGGGTAGTTTTGCTCCCTGAACACGAATATGGCACCCATTTGGCGTTTGAGTGTTTTCTAGACTTAAAAGAGACATTCCCCACGAAATGCAAAAGAAGTTCCCTCCCACAAATCCTAAACTCTTCATGGCATGCCCGCGAAGCAAGACCATTACCACTACATCATGCCGCCAATATAACCTCGTCATCCGGGCAGTTGATTAGGGCGGTCGTCAACGGGCCGCAGCGCGTGCCAGGAACTATTTGCTTTTCCAGGCTAATTTAGTCATTTTTCCACCTTGTGAAGATAAGGAGCTGCTAATCTGGGAAAAAGTAGCCAAAACAGTGAAAAGTTGGAAAAAATGACTAAATTAGCCTGGAAAAAGCAAATAGTTCCTGGCACGCGCTGCGGCCCGTTGACGACCGCCCTAATCAACTGCCCGGATGACGAGGTAAGGGTGCTTCCCGGCTATTCATGCGAATTGGCTGGCAACCGCGCTCGACTCCGTTTTTCTTTAATTCTAACAAACCTTCATAATTCCTTTCAGAGAATCGCTTCTGCAAATTTCGAAGGCAGATTCGAGATCAGCGTCCAAAACCACGTCTAGTGAGCTACATCTCATTACAAATGGCCACTTCGACCTGACGACCTTCCCTAGTAAGTTACTCAACATAATAAAGTCAAGATGAATACATGGAGCATCCTAAAGACTTACCACGGCATTCAGAAGTGGTCGATTACGAATGGATTGAAAAGGAGAGAACAGAGGATAACAAAACAACGTTTCCAAAGACAAGAGTCTTTGTGTAGAAAAGCGGAACGAGGCGGAAACCTCCAACAATGGACAGTATCATGTGAATGATCGACAATGCTTTAAGCCACCTGATCTATCTGACTAAGAAGTAAGTTTACTGGCACGGCAACCAATTGGGAGAAGTTTAAAGTTAGAGAATGTCCCGAGAGTAAATTGTCAGCGGAGACGATAGCATTTCCATGGGAGATCGAACGTATTCTGAGATTTGGGACTGTGAAAAGCTAGATTTCGCCGTAAGCGAATTCTTTAGTTCGGTAACCAATCATGGAAAAAGTCTAAAAGTTGCACATAGATGAATGAAAATAAAGAATGTGACTCATCCAGATTCCGAAGGATTCATTCTGCGGAACTCAGTAAACCATTCTAGTCACAGAAAACTCAAAAGTAATGGGGTTATGTCATAAAAGACCACGGGAATTTCCTTTCCTCGTTTTCCTTTTGAGCACCTGGGATGGGTGTTGCAAACCATTTGTCAGGCTGCCAGTCCGTGTAATTTAGATTGATGTACTTCTCACATTACTTGACTGAAGTAACAAGCTATCATTGCAAACCTGACGAAGGCGCTGAACAGCGAAGTATCCAAAAAATCTAAATCATTTAAAAAGTAATTTTCAAAACTTAGTTTCCATTGAGTCTGCTGGAACAAAATTTTCGAAGTTTCACGCTGTTTCTGAACATTATACCATGTGGCACCGTAACAACGCAATACTTACAACTAGATTACTCAAAATTGTAAAGTGTGTACCTTGAAAGGTTCCTTGCTATAGGCTGCGTGTTGCTGACCTAATTCATAGCAAGAGTGCTTCAATTCGTGAATATTCCCCAACGGCTCTTCCTGAACAAGAAACAAATATTATTTGTTAGACCTCGACATGAATGATGTTAAAAAATTTTGCTTAAAAGACAGCGCCCGCGATGGACTTTGGCAGGTCTCAGGGGTCAAATTTGTTAGAACAGGTGGCCAATGAAGCACTAATCAAAAAAAGTAGGAAAAAGGTGTGGAAGAGCGTGAAATAAGACCCTACGAAATTTAAGGCATGTGGACGAGTTTCGCAGACCTTTGGTGAGTTCTCCAATACACGTCGCCGCCTCGGAACTCCAGAAACTTAGCGTTTATCAATGCCAGCAAGCACTGATAACTGTTAACCAGTCGGGGCGGGATTAACAGGGAAGGAGGCGTCAGCTCAGCCTTGTTGACTCCGCCCTCGTCAATCAATACATTTCGAGCCGCAAGAGTGGGATATCCGCTATGGTTGCGTACTCCGCGTTCGTTTTCATTGGAGGGTTTTTTCACTTTGGTTGATCGCGGACGCTGCCTTTAAATTCTTTACCACCGAGTTTCCTCAGATAAGCCCTCGAAAAAATAAGTTCGCGCGGCGTCGTTTTGCCGCGCGCGCACACCTACCAAGGCGCCGCGAATTGAATAGTTGTTCCCCATCGAGAGTTGCTCACATTCTCATTCATTCCACTCAATTTTATATGCCTCCACCTTTATTGAGTTTCTTCCACATAGAACCTTCTCTTCCTAGTGCGGACTTTATACTTCTCCCAAATTGGGGAACCTTATTTAGAACTTACTACTATTGGTACGATACCTTCATCTCTTCACCCTAAACTTTGTACACCTTTCCTTCTTTTGTATGACTGCAAGCCGCATCTCATCGACAGCTATTTCTTCCGTTTCAAGCGCATACTATCCCCGCTCGACATCATTATATGCATATAATGCATGTAAGAACAGTGCACACCGTGGTTGGGGAATCCAGAACAGGGGGCGGGTCGTACCCAAAAAAGGGGGGGGGTTGTACGGACTCGACTGAAATCCTCAACCAATGATGTGCCCTGTGTAAGAGACTCGCGCTATGAACTTGTGACCCTCCTCTGCTTGACGCCCTCTTATTCAGATACTGTTCCTTGTCAGTTTGCACCTGCTCCTTTCTAGCTTTACTGACACATAGCGTGAGCTACCTCTGTACGGTTGTACCTTTGACCTCTGAAGAAGACGAGATGGTTGAATAGGTTGATAAAGGTCTCATCTAACAACCTCATCTTATCAGCTTATATGGCTTCCTCTCACTGTCACTGCCTGCCCATACCCTATAATGTACAGAGTTGTCCGGAAAGTTCTCAGCGTTTTGAGTGTTTCACTTTAAACGATCATAACTTTCTTAATACTCATCGGATTCAATCGAAACAAGCACCGTTCGAATCAGCACTTTGCCAATGTGACACCAGTCGAGAAATCCCATCAAAGGAAAACGAATCCACGAAGGCTTTTTTGCCTGGTCCTGATTGATGAAGTATTTTCCAGCAAGGAAGTTCTGAAAATGTTTGAAAAGGTGATAGTCGGTTGGTGAAAGGTCTGGAGAATATGGCGGGAGAGTAGAGCGTTGTCATGCAGAAGAATCGGACCCTTTCTGTTGACAAGTGCTGGCTGCAGCTGACGCAATTTTCGGTACATTTCGTCGATTTCTTCACAGTAGGACTCTGCTGTGATGGTTTGGCCTGGTGACAAAAAGTTATAGTGGATCACACCAGCCACCACACTGTGACCATAATCTTTTTTCGTGAGGATTCGGCTTTGGAAATTGCCTCAGCCGGCATCCAACTGTCCGAACGTCTCCTGTTATCATACATGATCTCCTTTTCATCACAGTGACAATTCGGTCCAAAAGCGGGTCGTTTCTGTTGTGCAAAAGCAGTGAAGAAGAAACCTCGAGACGTGCCAATTTCTGCCGTCACTCAAATTGTGGGGCACCACTTGTCGAGTTTTTTCACCTTCCCAATGCGTTTCAGACCATCCGCAACAGTGGATTTGCCAACGCCTAGCTTTTCTGCAATCTCTCGAACTGTTTGGGATGGGTCAGCCTCCACGCCTTCAAATCCTCGTCAGGTATTGCTTTAGGTCGACCGCTACGAGGTTCATCTTCAAGGCTGAAATCTCCAGAACGAAATTTGTCGAACCATTGTCGCACGGTGCTTTCTCCAACACTATTGGGCCCCCACACCTGGTTAATTTGTCGAGCTGTCTCGACTGCGGATTGACCCAATTTGTAGTTGAAGAAAAATATCGTCCGTTGCTCTTTTGACATGCTTCAAAAAGTCTTGGGAAAAGGGGGTTATCAAGCAATGGTGAAACGGCAATTATACCATCAGATAGCGCAAAAAATTCTCTTCAACTGAGACGCAAGGGAGAATGAGTTTTTAATCAGCAATGAATGTACAAAAAATAGTAACACAAAACGCTGAGAACTTTCCGGACAACCTAATATAAGTAGCAGGATTATTCATTGGTGAGCTTTTGGCGATGACGAGGTCATCAAGCCTTCTTATTAGGTTGTCCGGAAAGTTCTTAGCGTTTTGTGCACCTAATCTTTGTACATTCACTGCTGATTAAAAACTCATTCTGCCTTGCTTCTCAGTAGCACATCCTGTAGAGAATTTCTTGCGCTATCTGATGGTATAATTGCCGTTTCACCATTGCTTGATAAACCCTCTTTTTTCAAGATTTTTTCAAGCATGTGAAAAGAGCACTTCGGACGATTTTTTTCTTCGACTATAAATTGGGGCAATCCGCAATCGAAACAGCTCAACAAATTAACCAGGTGTGGGGGCCCAATAGTGCTAGAGAAAGCACTGTGCGGCAATGGCTCAACAAATTTCGTTCTGGAGATTTCAGCCTTGAAGGTGAACCTCATAGCGGTCGACCTAAAGCAATATCTGACGAGGATTTTAGGGGGATTTTGAAGGTTGACCCATCCCAAACAGTTCGAGAGATAGCAGAAGAGCTAGGCCTTGGCAAATCCACTGTTGCAGATGGTCTGGAACGCATTGGGAAGGTGAAAAAACTCGACAATTGGGTGCCCCACAATCGGAGTGACCGGCAGGAATCGGCACGTCTCGAGGTTCCTTCTTCACTGCTTTTGCGCAAAAGAATTGACCCGTTTTTGAACGGATTTGTCACCTGTGATGAAAAATGGATCATGTATGATAACAGGAGACGTTCCGGACAGTGGTTGGATTTGGAGGAACCACCGAGGTAATTTTCAAAGCCGAACCCTCGCGAAAAAAAAATTCTGGTCAGGTTTGGTGGTCATCGGCTGTTGTAATCCACTATAACTTTTCATCACCAGGCCAAACCATCACAGCAGAACCCTACTGTGAACAAACCGACCAAATGTACCGAAAATATTGTCAGCTGCAGCCAACACTTATCAAAAGAAAGGGTCCGATTCTTTTGCATGACAACGCCCGCCCACACGTTTCACAAATCACTATCCATAAATTGAACGAATTGGGGTTGAAGTTCTACCTCACCCACCATATTCTCCAGACCTTTCACCAACCGACTATCACCTTTTCAGACATTTTCAGAACTTCCTTGCTGAAAAATACTTCATCAATTAGGACCAGGCAAAAAAGACCTTCGTAGATTTCGTGGATTCTCGACCACCCAGTTTTTTCTTTGATGGGATTTCTCGACTGCTGTCACATTGGCAAAAGTGTGCTGATTCGAATGGTGCTTATTTGGATTAAATCCGATGAGTGTTAAGAAAGTTATGATCGTTTAAAGTTAAACACCCAAAACGCTAAGAACTTTCCGGACAACCTAATACAATCAGCAACTTCAGGTACAACAAATACATCACCATCTACCAGGAGCCATCAAAGAGGTGAGCATGCTGGCCCAAAAGTTCAGCAATAAATGATTTGAAATCGTCTATATATCAGAGATAGAAGCATCTTGCATGACTAGCTTTTTCGAAACCTGTGTTCACTTTCAGTCAGGAGCGCAGAAGGGCAGAACTGTAACTACAGCCATATTCACTTTAGCAATTAACGATACAGCCTTTTGCTAAGAAACCGCCCACTTTCCTTAGAACATGCCTCGCAACTGTCTTCTGCGTGGCAGTGCAATTACATGCTCAACAGCCGATATTTTTCGGCTTCTTCCCATGCCCTAGTGCTGTAATCATCAGCAAACTGGCAGCTGCTTTACGGTCTTCGGACTGCTGTGGTACGGCTTTGATCACTTCGCTGCGCTATCGCCCAAGCGACAGCAAGCATGCGCACCGAATGTGAATTTTCCATGGATTCATCTAAAATGTAACGGGTTACTTCCCATCCGCAAAATCGTACGCCCTCGAAGAGTATTCTACAATTAGTTCGCTGCACAATCATAAAAGGGGTGACGGGCAAGAGAGTCGTAAATTGCCACTTCTCCTTAAAGGCAGTATAAATCCCCAAGACGACTAGGATCAATACTCCTGGATAGAATTCCGCGACCCTGGGCAGGCGCTGCATAGCGGTTTCCCCGAGGAAGGTGCCCTTATAAGGGCCCTATCAAGCCACAACTTTACGTCCCAAACGCCCGCCACGCCCGCCCGCCCACAAATGGACGACCGTTCCTGACGCTCGTATTCATTCATTTGCTAAGCAAATTATGAAGCGAAGGATTGGGTATGAAGCGGCCGTGATGCTGCATGCATATATGGGTACACATATGCAGCCGTATCTTCGGTAGCGGTGATTGGCAAGATGCCTACGGGAAACTCGTCCGAAATCGATTTTCAAGTCACTGAGAACGGAGGCTTTTCTTCGCAGGATTTTGACCGTTTCACTCCGTTCTTTTCGCCATTTCCCCACTATACAGCGCCCTACTAGCATTTTAGGCTAAGTAGGAAACCATCGTGCCAACTGCCTTTAATTTAAATTACTCTTTCAATGGGAGCATCAATTTTATGTAACAAGGACATGGTGGACACTTGTGTCTATTTTTGGTCATACATTGTCTATTCTCTACCAATACCATCATTAGCGGGCGCGACGTCGCACGCGACGCCCATGGCGCGGCCGATTACGACTCTCTTGACACCCACAGGGAGAAGCTCGTTGATTTCAAAGGCCCAGGGCAGAAAATAGTCAAGAAAGTCGGCTTGCCGCGCCAGAGTGGATAGAATTGCGAATGCTGTGGACGCCATCAACTTGAAACGCATATTTCGCTGCACCTTCCGGAATAGGTGATTACTCCACACTATCACCCCCCTCCCTTTAGAACTTCCAAAAGGTAATGATGTTCTTCTAGAATTAGATACACATCATGTTCGGTATATGTTTGTAAAACTATGAGAAAATCGAGATAGTACTCACCATAATAATAAAATTAAAAAAGGCTGCTATGCGTTCGGCTAGCAGACATAACACGAATTCGCGTTCGGCATCATTAACAGCGTGCTGTTTCGGTATCAGTAACTCGCGCATACCGTCATCCCGACGCATCACATTCAGCAACACCTTAACTTATCACTTTGGGTAGAATATGACGGAAAAGTTCATGGTAAAAAGGAAGTATTGTACTGTGGAAGTATTGTATTTGTACAACGATTACGGCGGTTGACGAAGCACAGATATGACAATCGCTGCACAGGCCTGACCAATGACTTCCCCTCTTCTTCGGAGCTTACTGGGTTGCGCGGCGACTCTATTGATGTCGGGCTTCATCCGCTAGAGAGTATTGTAAGTGCAAAAGCCAATACTGAGCACTACAGTAGCGCTCTTATCGACAGGTTGTGGGAAGTGGAGCTCGCGCCGTTATAACCTGATTTCAAGGCAAACCTGAGTGAAATGTACTCTTGTTACATTGGAACGGCTCCTTCCATCGCAGCTCTTCTTCCTCTTTAGCTCAATCATTTAGAAATTGCAAATATTGGCCGAAAAGGCGTTGATCTATGTTTATTCTTTCACCCACTCATTTTTCACGCACTCACAGGAGCCCCATGATGTGAGCAGGTCGTCGACCCGCGCATTTTCCTTCGAGAGATGTGGGAAGACTGGGAGTAAATTTCGAAGGCTGGCTCCTGACTTGTATCCGTATGGTGATAGTCCAGCCCATAATTCGGATCTACGATGGGAAGCCCCGGTTGGATTAGAGTCGGAACTGCCTTCGTAAATTCGCCAGGTTCCTCTAGGAAAGTTCTACAGTTGCTTGCTTATCCAGGAGTTGGCCGAGTCAAAGCCTGTCACTCATCCCCAGAATTTTTTACCTGCCAGAGAGGGTCATTTTCGTAATCAGTGGTTTGCTTTACCACTAGATTGCTCTCACCCGTCTGCTTTATATTAGGTTGTCCGCGGAAAGTTCTTAGCGTTTTGTGCACCTAATCTTTGTACATTCACTGCTGATTAAAAACTCATTCTGCCTTGCTTCTCAGTAGCACATCCTGTAGAGAATTTCTTGCAGCTATCTGATGGTATAATTGCCGTTTCACCATTGCTTGATAAACCCTCTTTTCTAAGATTTTTTAAGCATTTGTGAAAAGAGCACCTCGGACGATTTTTTTCTTCGGCTATAAATTGGGGCAATCCGCAATCGAAACAGCTCAACAAATTAACCAGGTGTGGGGGCCCAATAGTGCTAAAGAAAGCACTGTGCGGCAATGGCTCAATAAATTTCGCTCTGGAGATTTCAGCCTTGAAGGTGAGCCTCATAGCGGTCGACCTAAAGCAATATCTGACGAGGATTTTAGGGGGATTTTGAAGGTTGACCCATCCCAAACAGTTCGAGAGATAGCAGAAGAGCTAGGCCTTGGCAAATCCACTGTTGCAGATGGTCTGGAACGCATTGGGAAGGTGAAAAAACTCGACAATTGGGTGCCCACAATCGGAGTGACCGGGCAGGAATCGGCACGTCTCGAGGTTCCTTCTTCACTGCTTTTGCGCAAAAGAATTGACCCGTTTTTGAAACGGATTTGTCACCTGTGATGAAAAATGGATCATGTATGATAACAGGAGACGTTCCGGACAGTGGTTGGATTTGGAGGAACCACCGAGGTAATTTTCAAAGCCGAACCCTCGCGAAAAAAAAATTCTGGTCAGGTTTGGTGGTCATCGGCTGTTGTAATCCACTATAACTTTTCATCACCAGGCCAAACCATCACAGCAGAACCCTACTGTGAACAAACCGACCAAATGTACCGAAAATATTGTCAGCTGCAGCCAACACTTATCAAAAGAAAGGGTCCGATTCTTTTGCATGACAACGCCCGCCCACACGTTTCACAAATCACTATCCATAAATTGAACGAATTGGGAGGTTGAAGTTCTACCTCACCCACCATATTCTCTAGACCTTTCACCAACACCCAACAACCGACTGTCACCTTTTCAGACATTTTCAGAACTTCCTTGCTGAAAAATACTTCATCAATTAAGACCAGGCAAAAAAGACCTTCGCAGATTTCGTGGATTCTCGACCACCCAGTTTTTTCTTTGATGGGATTTCTCGACTGCTGCCACATTGGCAAAAGTGTGCTGATTCGAATGGTGCTTATTTGGATTAAATCCGATGAGTGTTAAGAAAGTTATGATCGTTTAAAGTTAAACACCCAAAACGCTAAGAACTTTCCGGACAACCTAATATAACACCTTACTAGAACACAGTTGTGGGCCTCTCTAAAGCCACTTCGATTCATCTTGCGATTCCCAGCAATCCGACTTCCACTCTGTCCGT